GAAAAATGTGTAGGTGAAAATGAGTAGAAGAATGAGATTGAAAATTTTAATGTGACTCAAACGGGGGCTATTGAAAAAAAAATGGGGATCAAACAAGGGCTATGTATAAGTACTGAAATGGCCTATAGGAAAATGTTTTATTAAGCACTTGTTTGATTCTCATTATTTTTAAAATATATTTTTCTGTCTTATTTGCAACCATACATTTTTTAATAAAATAATATTACACACACAAAAACACAATTTTTCTTTATTTTTTAAACACACATTCTCCATAAAAAATACTATTCTAAAATGCATTATTTCAAAAAAGGGGGGTGGGGGTCAAACGGGCTCTTAATGCAAATAAAAAATGTAATGCATAGAATCGAACTCGAACTCAAGATTCGAGTTTGAGATTGGTTCCAGTGATTATAAGAACCTAAATGATTTCATTCACAAAATACCCAAAGTATGACGAGTGATTCCAAATGTTGAAATATTCCCGACCTAATGACACTGTTACTCATATAAATAATCATACATAATTGAACTACGTGGTAGACGGTGAGGGTCCTACATCCTACATGGCAATCTGGACGACCTTGTTACCACATCATTCTGCCCATAGGACAATATGGTCGAACCCCAATTTGGCCGAACCTCTATTGGCCGAAGCCCCATGAAGGACTGAGCCCCAATGGATGACATGAGAGGTAGAGACGTATTAGAGAAGATCTTCATACTAGATCTTGTATCAAGTGGGTGATGTGACAACTCACTAAATAGGTAGTGCTACTCAATTAAACAAGTCAAAATCTAGTCTTATATGTCGGACTAGGGCTGCTAGCCATCATAACATTAAATACAAAATGGCCTATGAATGATTGATTGATGGTTATGACAAGAGATCTCAGCTGTGCGGATGAGGCCACGTGACCCCTTATCTAACAACTCTTAATCATCATCTTCTACTATAAAAGCCATCGTTAGCACCATGGAAAAATAATGCAAGTTTACACATCCAAAGTAAAACTCGATTCTCTCTATTACACTCCACGGCTGACCCTCATTTTTTTTTGCGAAAAGAAATTATAACAACAACATATAAAACTCTTTGGATCATTCCCGTCATGGATTGATCAATGTAAGTAGTTGCTAGGTT